ACAAAACAAAACAAACAAAATAAAATGAAACAGTAAAAGAAAGTCCTAGTATGAGCCAGGGACAGTGGCATGCACAGTGCACAGTGCTGTACACTCTTAGCCTCCGCTTTTCAATCAACTAAAGCACAAGGATTGCTTGACCCCAGGGCCCCAGGCAGCGTACTAAGAACCTGTTTCTTGCTTTAATAAAGAAGCACAAAGAATAGAAAAAAAATAACAAAAAGAAATTCTAACTATAAGTCATCAGTGACAAAAATGGACAGAAGCGCTATTGTAGCCTCAAGGAGACTAAAGAGACATTAAGGCGAAATGTCATTTGGACCCTGTGTCCAGAGAAAACCTTAACAACAACCATAAAAGGCTTAAGGAGAACCACTGGGAACACGGAGGTAACAGTGTCCATTGCAGAACGTAGCCATGTCAGTGTAATTTCTTGATTTTGATGGTTGTGGTGCAGTTACTACACACTAGGACATGCACAGTGAGGTGTTTAGGGGTAAAATAGTAAGATGTCTGCAGTTCACTTTCCAATGGTTAAGCAAAACTTTATATGCAGACAGTTTTGGTAAGAAAAAGAAAGGAGGAGGGAGAGGGAGAGGAAGGGTAGGAGAGAGAGGCAGGGAGAGAGAAAGAGAGGGAGGGAGTGAGAGAGAGAGAGGGAGAGAGGAGAGAGGGGGAGAGAGAGAGATCAAGAAAATAGTAAAGCAAGTGCTGTGAGATACACAGTAAGATTTAAAAGTTAGATTTCAATTTCAGGAGGAGCTGAGTTTGTGAATGTACAACTCAAGTAAACTGAATATAATGTATTTTGAGGTATTGTTTCTACTTACGCTGAAAGGAAAATATGCATGTGTACATAAAGGAATTTTAGAATCCATGCTTTCCCATTCTTTATTTTCTCAGCTACAAAACAGTGCTGGCCGTGGTGCGATAAATGCTGAGGGACTCGCTAATGTTTGCCGTGGAGATGACAGATGATGCTTCCTCAGTGACAAACTTAACAAAATGAAAAACCCCATCATAAGGAATGAGTTACTACAGTGGAACTCTTAAAAGTAGGTTTAGTTGACCACTCACCGTGTGGACATTTACTTGCCCAAGGCAATATGAAACTCTGAGGAAGATGCACACTCTCTCCCCTGGATAACACAGCTGATAAATAGCAGCTGTCTCAGCTGGGCTGGTCTAGGTGGTACCAGGTTGGGCTCGTAGAACAGGCAGGGCTTCCTCGGCCATCCCTACTGACAATGCCTGAAACCTACCAGCCTCCTGCAAACACCTTGGCAGCAGAATGAATGCCTTTTGTCCCATCCTCTCCCTCCTGCTTCCTACCTCTTAGAAATTTTTTTTTTTTTGTCTTTTTCCGTTTTATCAGTACCGGGGATTGAACTCACGACTGCCTGCTTGCAAGGCAGGTGCTTATGCCGCTGAGCTAAATCTCCAGCCCCCCTGCGTTCTCTTAGAAATCTTGTAACAAAATTGTTATAAAAGTAGAGAAAAATGTATTATATCTGATTTATTCTTCCCTGGAGTTCAATAGCAAAAGAAAATTTGCTGCCGTTGCAGTGTCCTTTGTCATTGTTGCTTATTATTTCCCCCAAACAGAGCACTGGAACAATTACATGCCATGTGTTCATAGTTGTTTTATTAAGCCAAGAACTTAGCTGTAGATATCTGAGACTGCAAATATAATCAAAATATAATGAAACTGGAGGGTGGAATATTTGCAATATGGAATTTTCAGTGTAATAGCATCGCAAGGTGCAGTAGCACACACCTATCATCCTGTAACTTGGGAGGCTGAGATAAGAGGATTGCCCTGAGCCGAAGGCCAGTGTGGGCTATATAGTGAGTTCAAGGTCAGCCTGAACTACATAGGGAGACCCTGTCTCAAAAAAAAAGAAACAAAATAAAATAAATATATAGCATCATTAGCTATTGTAATCCAAATATTGTATGTTGTAATACAAATAGTGTAATTTCTCTTTTTGTCCACCTTTCAGTCCATAAAATTGTATTTGTAATCCCATAGAAATGTTTTTGGAAGTCCAGAAGATTAATTTTAATCTACCATCACCAATGCAACCCATAGTGAAAGTAAAGACACCAAGACACTAAACTTATGGGTAGCAAGTCCAATCCAAGTGAGGATATACCAACAAAGGTCTTGATCCAAGTTTTCACCAAACGTTTGTGAGCTCGTGGAAGAGGGAATGAGTGACGGTGATAATGTGGGAACTATGTGAGTACCTTGAGCTGAGTCAGCCAGGTGGAGAGAAAAAAACTAGGCGTGCAGGAAGAAGATTATGCAGAAAGACTAACCTGTGTAACTCGATGGAGGTAGCATTTGAATGAATTAGGCTGTTGCTTTAGTTTTTGATATGTAAACTTTTGTGCCCCTGGAAGTCATAGCCTCTTATTTGTGGGTCGAATCCAGTTGACTTTTTTGGAGTTCTTTGGCTCTGGCATCCCTCTGTGCTTAACCGTTTATAGGGTTCCCCTATAAACGGGAACATGATGCAAGGAAACAGGAAACTGTCAGCTGGTGTTCAAGATTACATATCAGTACCTTAGCCAGCCTTATTCACATTGCTTAGAGCAAATTGAAGGGAGAAGGAAATAGCATAGCTAGCTCTGTACCTATCAGTCATGGAGACAGGATTCAGTTTAACTAATATGGAAAAAATTGTTCTGCATTCAAAGGGAGTCACCCAGGTCATTTCCTACAGTTAGCCATATTGGTAATGACATATTACAAACAGCATACCTGGAAATGTCTAACTTCGTACCAGGCAAATAATAGATGCTCTACTCATGGTAAATCTGGATATTTTATATAGCACTGAAGCATCCTAAAATTTTAGAGTTGGAAAGAAAATTAGAGAGCAACTAATGATATTTGTTTATTTTACCAATTGAGAAAATTCTGTTCTAGATCTTTAACTCAAGAGAGAGTAATAATAGACTATTTCTGAAGGTTTTTAATGAGGGTGAAGGGACCTATGCAAGTGGAAGGCTGCACAAAGCCTGGCATGTGGCAAACAGTGAGGACTGAGCCTTGTGCCAGTCCTCTCGTGACCGTGTTTGCTGAAACAGTGGACCCTGCAAGAGAAAAAGAAATGAGATCATATGAGAAGGCAGCACATGAGACCAGATTTATATGGCAATGATGTCAGCTAAGTCCCAGTTACACAGCTTTATTTTGAAGCTCTTTTAATTTATCAGTCAAATCTGAAAGAAGAATGAAAGAGATAATGAAAAATCTTCCCCAGGTAGAAATTTATCTAAAGTGACCACAGGGGCATCTCTGAATGGCCATTTCCTCTCAGCATTGCAGCCTGAAATCCATTGTCCCTCTGAGACTCCCTGGGGCTCAGCCAGGCTCTCTCTACCCTTCTGTGACTTCCAAGGATGCCCTTGGCATCATGTGCAAGTATTTGGAGTAGGTGAGCACCCTATTCCTGGTGAGTTGTGTCTAAACTGTGAATGCTAACCTAATAGTAATCACAAATGGTTTATATGTAACTGGATTTATATCTAAATATTATCTTCTTTTCAGGATTTTTTGGTCAAATTTTTATTTGTATTTGTACATCTTTGTGGTACAAAACGATTACATTCCTCATGTGGATTTGGTGCACATACATAACCCACCTTAATCCTTTCCACATCTCCTTCCTCCCCCTCCTTCCCCACTTCCTCCATCTCCTGGTCGTCTCCCTTCTGCAAAAGATCGATCTCTCAGTTTTCAGTCATCTGTCTTTCACTGTGCTTTTGAGTTTATTTATATCTTGGGTCTCATATAAGAGAAACCATGAGGTACCTAAGCTGTGTCTGACTCATTTCATTAGCGTTACATTCAAGTTGCATTTTCTTACAAATGGCTCCAGTTTATTCAGGAATAATGCTAGAAGGAGAAATATTAATTTTGAGAAGTGTTATGGAAGTAGGTAGGAAATGTCCCTCCAAAATATTCTAGATTATCTTACTGGGCCTAGTATCCCTACAAAGGTCCTTACAAGTGGGGTGCAGGAGGATAGAAGCCACCATGACAAGTACAGTGGAAGTGGAGACTGAAGTCAAGTGTTTATTGGATGGGACCATCAGCCTCCAGAGGTGGGAAAACCAAAGAAACAAGCTCTCCCCAAGATCCTCCATTAACAGCACAGCTTCCCTCCCCTCCCCTCCCCTCCCCTGCCCTCCCCCCTCCCCTCCCCTCCCTTCCTTTCCTTCCCTTTCCTTTCCTTTCCTTTTCCCTCTGTAGTTCTAGGGATTGAACCAGGGCCTTCACACTGAACTACAATCTCAGTCCCTTTTATTTAACTGTAAAAGTATTGAGGCAGAGAAGTTCTCCTTAAATTGCTGAGTTGCCTAGGCTGGCTCAGACTTGTAATACACCTATTGCAGCCTCTCAGAGTATTGTATTTGGATTACTTTATCTTAGCAGCAAGGATTCTTTCATGTCTAAAATTTGGGGGAGAAATATTAGGAATGAGCCAGGGTAGTTGCTTGGTAAGGAGAAGGGCAGAACTGCCTCTATACTCCCTGGGGTAGGGTGCTGTGTTGGAACTAGATGCATTTCCTGGGCTGCTGGGGTTCCATGGGATCACTATAGCAGAGCCTGGGGTGGAACCAATGGACAGCTGAGCTAGGGATGATCTAGTGGTCACTTGGGGGTCTATGGCCAGTGATAGAGGAAGATGTCAACAGGTCTTTCAGGTAGTGACTGAGCTCTGACTAGTCGTGGGGAAACATTTCATAAATCATTCCAGCCTCAAACTGCCCTAGAAAGCTGGCAGGACAAGAAGCAGTCAGAGGGGTGCATACCAAAGATTGAGTGTGTACCTCCCAGGACCAAGAGTGGGAGCTTCCCAGAGCTATAAGTTTGGAAGCTTCTTCAAGAGAAAAGCAGGGCCAGGGAGGTTCTCTGAAGAAGCAGCCACTTGACCCCTGAAAAGCTGAACACTGTTTGGAGGGATAGCACAAATGGTCAGGTTGGGTTGAATTTAAGATGGATTGGGCATTTATTTCTTTACACATGAAGCAACCAAATTAATTATATGAAAAAAACCAGAGAGTTACATTTCCTGTCTGTTCCAAGTAATTAATACAAGTAAAATTTGTGACCCATATATTTGATCCCTCCACTTACACTTTGCTAAAGTCTATTTAGGAATCTCTTGAGAGATGGTCTTAGGAATGTTCATTCTCTCCAGGAACATTTGGAAGTCTGGAGGTGTTATAGAAGCTGCTGAAATTCTTTCAGAAGTTTTGGATTGTGTTACTAGAAGCTTACACACATACCCAAGCCTGCATTTGGCTCCTTGGAACACATCAGGCTTGATGAAGATCAACCTCAATTCTAGTCGTAGGAACAAAACTCTGCCTTCTTTCTATAAAACCATCTGCAATGTCTGAAGGCAGTGACCTAAGACTACATACAGCTGTGCCAACTTCTTTAGTAGCTTCATCACCAGTTGTCTCTTTATGCATCATCCCCAGCTTCTCAGACAATAAAACCCTCGGATCTCTTCTTCTCCAAAGACCTAGATCCAGTTTCAATACTTTTTGAATGAATAAGCATATCAAGATCCTCAGTTACTTATCTTAGAAACTGTTGTCAGATACTTCTGTATTTGTTTTTTAAAAACGATTCCATCAGCAGGATTTTGTGCTCAACATGGCACGATATCAACATTTTCTTGTGTTCTACTTAGCATGGTAGTCTATTGATATCTTCTAGATCTCTCTCCTAGCCATGTGCCACCTTTATTAGACCATAAATAATACAGAAGTTGTAACTGGCCTGGAGATAGAGGGCTGGAAGAGTCAGATGGGCTTGGCAGGGAACCATAAGTAGAGAAATGGTATGAAAATTTCCTGAAGTCACCCAGTCAGGTGGCATTTTGGATGCAACTTGGAGGATTAGCTAGCATTTTCTTGACATGAAGGTAGGAGACCTGGAAAAAGATTCATCCCAACTGGCATCATGGAAAATTGATTAAAATTTTCTGTATTAGGCTTATGCAGAGTAACACAGGTAAGTGTGTGTGTGGACATGAGCTTGTGTACTGTCTGCTCTCTATATTCTTGGATTCCTGCACTCATGCATATAACCAAGAATTGAAAAGATAGGCCTACAATAGTGCATGTTTATTAAATATAGACAGGTTATTTTTCTTGTCACAGTTCCCTAAATAATACAGTGTAGTAATTATTTACATAGCATTTACATTGTTTTAGGTAGTATAAGATGATATAAACTATATGGGAAGATGTTGTACATAGGTTACATATAAACACTATGCCATTTTACATAGAAGATTTGAGCATCCATAGATTTTGGTATTGGGGTAGTTTCTGGAATCAATTCACTGAAGATCCTAAGGAGAGAAAGAAATAGAGGAGGATGCAGAATGAGACAGAGAGATGGAGAAGAGAAAGGGGTGGGGAGAGGAAAGGAAGGGGAGGGAAGAAAGAGGAAAGGAGAGAGAATGAGATAGAGGAGAATGTAATTTTTGGGAAATTTTTAGGAATTGACTCACATCATTATGGTGTCACAAGTGTAAAATTTGCAGGTAGACCAGCTGCCTGGAGACCTAAGAAAGGGTTAAAGTTCAGATCCAAAGGCAGTGTGCTAGCAGAATTTGCTCCTTTCAGGAAGGGCAATCTTTTTTCCATTAAGGTTTTCAATGGATTGGATGGGGCCCATTCAGATTATGGAAGGTAAAACTGAAGTGTTGATCTCATCCAAAATATCTTTAGAAAAATGTCTAGATTAGACCACATGTTTGGAGTACTCTGGCCCTGCCACGTTGACACAGAAAATTAAGCATCACAGCACTAATTAGGAAAACCCAACATGAAACATCTGGGTTTCCCCAATGTCAATTAGAGCAGCATCTCATCCCAACGACCATTCGTGTGCCTGTGGTCTCCTTGGCCTTTCATGTGCTGCCCCGTCTTCCTGATGCACCCTGGAATGCCCTCTCCATGCCACTGGAAAAAGTCTACTCATCTTTCACAGTTCAGATCAAATGTTAGCTCCCTGACACTTTAATACCGTGCATCCCATCCTGGAGATTTAATTCCTTCCTTTGTCCTTTATGCCTGTTCTAGTTTAGCCTTTATCACACTGCATTGCAGCTCTTCGTACACCAGAGAATAGATTACCAAAGTGGTTTAAAGTATAGCTTCTACTTCCAGTCTTCCTAGATTTAGTTCCAGATCTCAGCAAGTTAACCAGTTTCTCTGTATCTTAGTTTTGTCACCTGTCAAATAAAATTAAAATATTACTAGCCATCTGAATTTTTCAGTGAAGAGCCAAGAAGTTAACATGTGTAAAACTCTTAGAACAGTGTCCAGCATGTAAAAGCTACTTTAAAAAGGTAGTTACTTTAATTATTAGTGATGCTGTTGCTAACCAATTCTTGTTTCCCGTGGAAAGATGAAGCTATCATCATATTTCTGTTTTCATCTCTCTGCTGTATGGAATTGGTCAAAAGCCCATAGATATTTATTGGAGTATGTGAGGTATGATTAAAAAATACAGGAAATGTTAATTTTTAAAAAATTACAGTAAAAGACACATTGCCATTAATCTCTGTCAAAATACTGTTGCTTCTAACAATCCTATTTTACCATTCTTGTCACTTTCTGAAGCAGTTTTAGAAGTCCTCTTTCAAGAGTGTCTTTAGTTGCACAGATGTGGCTGCCTCAGTGTCTGGAGTCAATTAAAAACATTTATCTTGCATGGTCATTTTAACTTTGGGGAAGAGTAAGAAGTCCTGCAGTGTCAAATCTGGTGAATAAGGTATATCAGAACCCACTGTGATGTTTCCTGTTTCTCTCTGTCATTGGGTGACACTCAGCAGCAGTATTCCTGTACTTTTTTTTTAAAATCACACTTCAGAAAACAGCACACTCATGAAAGAGGACTTCTAGAACTGCTTCAGAAAGTGGCAAGAATAATGGGTAAGTGTGTTAGAAACGAGGCGAAGCATTTTGTGGGGATTTAATGATGTGTCTTTTACTAAAATAATTTTTAAAAAATTTAAACATTCACCATGTATTCCCATCACACCTTGTATACGATACCTTAAATTTCTAGAATGTTCTGCTCGCAACATCATTACCCACTTAATCCTCACAACAAACCTGCAAAGTTGTAGCTATCATCATTTTACAAGAGAGGAAACTGAGAGGTAGACATTAGGTAAGCTGTCCACTGTCACACGGGCAGGCATGAATCTCCAGCTCCAAGGCCATGAAGGGGGGCGTGGGAATTCTAGGAATTCTGGGGGAGTTTTTTCCTGTCTGAGCCAGCCACCCCTGAAGGAAGGTGAAATAAGGAGGCTGCAAAGAAGTGAGGTCCCCATTCTCACTGCAGAACTGACTCAGGAAAGGATATGGGCAGGGGTGGGTGATTAGTATAAGATATCCTCGGCTGTGACCGTGGCCTCTTCGATTTTGGTCTTGATCTCCGGCAGGGGAATCTGACTGATCGCCACCACAACCAAGTTTGCAGCATGGGCGGAAGCGCTGGCTACGCAGATCCAAAACGACTCTTCGTAGTGCTCCTCCACCACGACAAACTGAAAGAGTCGCTCCTGGAAGTTGGCGATTCGTTCAGTCAGATCATGAAATTTCACCGCGGCCATGAAGCTGGCAATGGCTAACGCCACGACTCCACCTGAAACCCAAGAGATGCCCTTCATTCACAGCTCCTTTCTGCAGCTGAAGGGCTCTGTGTGAAGGGACGTTTCTGTGCCATGCATACTCATTTTGGATTGAAAGAATTACTAGGGTAACATAAATTTTAATTTGCTTTTGAAAGCAGTGGGTAGCCCACACTGTGAGGATAAGAATCAGGGTTGAGCAGGGAAAAATTTTTTTTGTATCAGATGGACTGATTCCCCTGGAGTTTTTTCCTTTTAGTGCCATCTGTTATTTCTTATATTTAGATGTCCCCCCAAAACCTCATGAGTTCATAGGTGAGGAGATGACTGGATCATGGAGGTGTGGTACTCATCATTGGATTAGTTCATGGGAGGACTTGCAGCTGAGTGTGATGTCAGAGGTGAAACCTGGTGAGAAGAGGTCACTGTACACGTGGCCTAGAAGGGTAAATATGTCTACGCGACCTTCCTCCTTCCTTGATCTCTCTCTTTCTGTCTGCCCTGCCATGAGCCTGCTGTGCCCCTCTGCCATGCTGTCCTGCAGCCAGCTGACTATGGACTGAAACCTCTGTGTCTTAGTAACAAAGAAAATAAGATCTCTAGGAGATCCACATTTATCAGTCTCTAAGTACCAGATCTCTACGTGGCTGGGTGAGTGAAGGTAACAAAGTCATGCTTTGCAGACTGAGGTTACATGCTGGGGCTGGACCATTGTTTTCCTCTTTCAGTTTGTTCTTTCCATGAGTAAGAATATCAAGAGAACATAAGGGGAGGAAGGGCACAAGAGGAAAGGCTAATCAACGGGGAAAGTCTGGAATTCCATATCTCACTTATTTAAATCTCTGTCATTTATTCGAAACTTTGACCTTCTTAAGAATTGGTTATCTCTTTGTATCTCTCTCTGTTCTATTTTGATTTAAACTAATGTTAAAAAACATATTTATTAGTTTTTTTGTCCTTTGTTACTGGCTGATTTCAAGTAGCATAATGTCCTCAATATTACAGACTATTACATCTTTATTGAAGAAAATTTGGATACTAGAGTCAATCATAAACATGGAAACTACAAATTTACTTTTATCCTAAAAATCAAGTCTAAACAGTTTGAACATATTAGTACAGTATATATTATTTTTTCTCTTTAATAAAATTAGTATGCTGCTCACTTTGATTTTAAGTTTGATTTCCCCCTTCATTTGAACATTTTTGCATGTTAAATACTGTCAGCACAATTTTTTAAGCACAATTTCAAATGGCACTGTAATATTTTATTTTGGTGATACTGTAATTTATTTAAGCAAGACTTTATTTCTGGAAATCTAGATGACTTCTAATTTTTAATATTATAAATTTCTGTGATAAGCACCATTTCATGGACATCTTTATACTCTTGCCTTATGTGCTTACTATAAAACCTCATGTGAAATTTATTCATTGAAAGTATTTCTAGTTTTAGTCTTTGACACTGAAGTTTTGTCTGACTGCTGCTTTTTATATGCTCATCAGTAAAATTTGAATCTTATCTCTCTGAGGAAGGATATTGGAAGAGATAAATACATCGTAAGTACTCTTTATGTGCCAGTGATGGTGAAAGTCCAAGTAGGCCAGGCCAAGCCACATATATAGATGACCCTACAGGGTGGCCAGCATCTGTGCACAAGCAAATACTCAATAACTGGTTCTTGATGAAACATTTCACTGTGACAGAATAACACTGCCTGTCTTTGTACTTCCTAGTCACCTTGAATAAGGTATGGGCAGTGGAATCTGTATAACATACGGTGCCATAATGGAATCTTTACCATTTGACATGGGTTTTCTTAGACAGCTTTTGTTTTGGGGGATTTTGCTACTTGCAATACAGATAGCTTGTTATATGTAAAATTAAATGTGATATTGTATCTCAATACACACCCACATCACAACACACATGTACATATACAACTTTGTATTGGAAACGTTTTTTACTTGGAGAACCAGTCATAATGGTCACAAATAAGAGCACAAATCAATGAAAAGACAAAGGGCTTAGAGTCACTTATACTAGAGTTGGCATGTTATCTCTACTTCTCATTGCTGTGTGGCTTTTACCTTCTCTGAGTCTCAGTTTCTTTATCTGCAAATGTGAGTCTAAGAATGCTTCCTCCCTGGAACTGTGAGGCAAAAATGAAATAATCTGTGCAAAACCCCTAGGCCCATGCCTGGCACTTGGGGGACGCTCAATAAATAGCATCCATCCTGTATCAGGGCGAGGTACCTGGTATGTGTTTGGAGAAGTGAGAGCAGAGAAGTTCAGTCAAAGGGCTGCATCTGTATTAATAGGGATGTGTGTGTGTGTGTGTGTGGGGGGGTCCACCGCCATTGGCAGCTCAATGGCCTTTTATTGCTCCTTTCTCCATGGGAAGTCTCAATGGATCAGCCTTTTACAGGTGGTTTGCTCTCCTGCAGTGTCCCTCCTCTCTATCATTTGTGATGCCCTCCCTGTAATACCAGTTATAGCAGAAGCTCCTCACCCTTCTCCCCATCCCCTGATGTCTGTCTCCTGTTTGCCCTATCAACCAGATCTCTCTTCAAAGTGCTACTCTTCAGCCATTCATACACCCTAACAATGTGGTTATTTTAGTAAAGAGGATATTGAGGCCACCAAGGAGATCTTAGGTCTTGGGAAGTGAAGGTCAAGGAGACAATTTAGTTCCTTTACACCTTCTGCCCAACTATTTGGAGTTTAGCCTGGTGACAGTGTGGACAAGAATTTCTCTCCTTAGGAGGTTTCTTACCTGCCAGGGTGTTCCACAGGCAGATGCCCCCAGGGCCATTGACTGCTCGATAAGGTACCTGGACCACGTTGAGGATGGCAAAGCCCATGCTGACCAGAGCGAGGGCCAAGGCCAGGAAGAGGAGCAGCAAAATTGTCACATGAAGGCCGGTGTTGAGCTCCTTCACCAGGTGTGGGAAGACTGGAGAGAGAAGACGTGGCCCATAGTTCAGTGTCAGAGTTCATCCCATTTTCATAGAAAACCCAAGCTTGCTTCCCAGGAGGGCTTTGGTAGAGGAGGGTGACAGAAAGATGGGAAACACTGGGTTTTCCAAAAACCAAGACATTTTCTGGGATGTACTCCTGGTCTTTGGAGTTGCTGTTTATCAGCTGACCAGCAATCTCCTCCTTGGAGAGGACACAAGTCCCAAATATGCCTTAGCTGGCAACTTAATGTGTACTGACCTTATAGCTCTGGGGTCGACTGTAAACTGATAACACACAAACCCTGGACACTGACTTGGCAGAGTTGATGTTACTGTCCTCAAGTATAAGGGAGGATTCATATGCTACACAGTACTTCATGAAAATGTTCATTTTCCATAGGATGTAGAAGAATAATTTTGTGAAATATGCATTAGTATTTCTTTTATATATACTTGCTACCAGTACCAGCTATAAAGATGAAATAATATAATTGAGCCTTCCAGGGGGAGAACCACAAGTGTCTTCTGAGATCCGCACAATGTTGGAACTTAGGACGCTGGGAAACCAAGCAAGCAGCTCCCCTCCCTGGTAAGTTGCTGCAGTGTGGCAGACTCAGGCCCCTCCAGGGGGAGAACCTCCAGCAGCTCCTGAGATCCACACCATGTTGAAACTTATGAAGCTGGGAAACTAAGTAACCAGCCTGCCTCCCTGATAAATAATAGTGAACCTACTGGTGCATGGCCTAGAGTCAAACATCCCATTTCCCCTACCCCCTTTCTCTTGTTCCCCCCCCCCCCCGTTAGCAAATGGGAACCAGAAATCTGAGCATCTCCTGGGAGGTTGATCATAGCAAATAAGGGATATTTCCTTCTACCATCTCTTTGAAGGCAAATATTTTTATTACTGTTTTGATCTATTCTGATTAATGGTACTGCTCTATTCAATATTCTATTTTGATAAGTTCTATAATGTTCTGTATTTCATTTTATTTTGACATACGTGATTGAAAGAACAACTATTATAAAGATAATGAAATATACTGTCATACCTATTACTGTTATCCCGATAACCTGCTGTGAAGTTCTGTACCAATTTCACTGTATGATCTTAGTTGGCTTTATTCTGTCTTGTTCTGTTGTATTTTACTATTTTCAAAATAAAATTTAAAAAAAGAAAAAAATAATATACTTGAGTACTTCAAATAATGCCTGAGAGAATCACTTCTCAAAAATGGCAATGTGGACACTGCTGTTATTTTTCCTGCCTTACTTGGGGAAGTCACACCGCTGCTCAAAGCCTCGGTTTCTTTAACAGTGCATTGTGACAGTAATGGCTGCACAGGAGTGGAAGGTTACAAGCTTTTGCTGAGCACCGACATGGGTCATGTTCTGTACACGTGCCTTCCATCATCTCATTCCATCCCTGGGAGAGAGACATGAGGGAGATCACAAAAATTTCCTTTAATCAAAAGCTTGGAGATTAAGTCCTTTATCTTTGGGCAAGGCAACCCTAAACTCTAGAAAGGATTATAATCTTATGTATCACCTAGCATAGAGTCTCAAGCCAGCTTTCAGTAATTACAGGTGGAGAATTTAAAGTAACAAGTCAAAGAACTCCTGAGCGTGCCCATTCCTCTGCAACTCCAGGGTTTCTGATGAATGTCTCCTGGTGAAGTCTGGGTCCATTTGATGATTTCATCCCTGTACTGGACATAAGTGCCCAGCCCCTCATGGGCTCCCATCCCTCCCTGGGGCCAGGACTCATTGTATCTCTGGTTCTATCTCACCCTCTGACCCTATCCCTGCTGGCTCCTTGCTTTGCCCACCTATCTCTTTTTTAGTCAATGATGGTTGGTATCTTCCAAGCCTTGGAAGTAAAATTTTTGCCCTTCTCTTGAAAGGTGTCTTTTCTGTGTACAAGTTTCCAGGAGCTTCGCGTTTGTGGTCTAGTTCTGATTTAACTTCTTTCCAGTCCTGAATTTCCATTTCTTGTTATCTACATATTGTTATCTTACCAGCCTTGGAAATTGTACCTGGGAAGATGAGCTCCTTCCAGGGAGTTCGTCTTTCTGAGGCATCTCTCTTTCCTGTGCTTCCATTCTATCTATACTAGATTTTGCCCACTTCTTTCCAAACACTCAATGTACTATTATTCCCAACACTTGATTACCTAATTGTTTTGCTACTCCCTTTCTTGATCATGCAGTTCCTTGGACACATGAGTAGCACAGTAACCTTCTTTAAATTCTTAAAATGGAAAATAATGGGATTATCAAAGTTCAAAATGTTTAATATATTGTGCTGATGATGGTCTAGGGAAAAGGTACTCTCAGATCTTGTGGTGATATTAACTCCTATGACCTCAGAGTGCAGTTTGGAAACATCTTATCAAAGCAATTTCACTTCCAGGAATGTATTTTCCAGATACAGCCCTACATGTAGTCAAAACTCTATACATTTGAAGTCTATTGCAATAGCAAAAGACTGGAGAAAAACCAACACATAAATCAACAGAGGTAGATTTAGTAAATAAAGGTACAACCACATCACATGATGCATCTTTTAAAAAGAACTTACAACATATGCATAACAATACAAATGCATACCAGACTTGATTTAAAAAAATATTGAGAAATAATCTGATTAGAATGATGAGGGACAGGAAATAAAAATGTATTTTGGGATTATAGTGTGAGGCAGAGAGGGATATAAAGAGTACCCAACTCAGCCTCTGTTAGTAGGAAGGATATGAAATAAATTTTAAAAACTCTTCATTAGAAAAGAATGAATCATATGTCCTTCCCCAGTCCCATCCATGTGCCATGACCTAGGATCAGGGTCTCCTGGTGAACTGAGCTCTCAGTACTTGCTTATATGCATCACTGTTTAGAAATTCAAGTCTTTCCTTGAGAGTTTCAACGCACTGTTTCTTTCCATTTGTTTTTGAGGGTAACTCTCCATTTGTCCCTGTCATACAGAGCTGCCCCAAGAATGCTGTTGTTCACTGGCTTTTTGTGTTTGCACAATTACCAAGAGTTTTAGCTGTCTCTGACTTAACAAAGAAATTTAAGTTCCCAGCCACAAATGATCTCTGCTGCCTATATTGCATGCAACCATGTGTCTGGTGCTTCATACATGTTATTTCTTTCAGTGTTCATGGTCACCCTCTCTCACTTTTACACATGAGGAAACTGAGGCTCAGAGAAGCCACACTGCCTAGCTAAGTTCACTCAGCCAGGAAGTGCTGCCTTCTTTGTTAGAAGGCTTATAACAGAAAAGTCAGGAATCAGGAAAGTAAAGGTTTACGATTTTAATCACCCTGTAGCTTGAATTCTGAAGGTGTTATTTTGAATCTGAATAAATATTTGTATTTCATATGCACCACAGCTACTTCCCTTGAATCCCAGAACTGGTGAATGAATCTACCAGCATCTAAAACTTAGATAACTTATTTGTCCCTGAGCCTAGAGGAGACTGGGAGTCCTTTTTGCCCCAGCATAGCATTTCGAGTCATACCCAGGAGCTGGCCTCTGGAGGGATGTTTGTGGCTTAGAAAGTAGAGAGGGAACAAGAGAACTAAAAACTGCAAGATACTTTATATTAGTTGTTTTTGCAGAGCTTATTCTGTGTATTGAGTTCTCCGATTTCAGTTTCTTTGTCAGAAAAAAGGGACACAATAAAAATCTTTCATTTAGCATTGTCACAGCCACAGGTGAGGGCTTGAGAGACTAATGTTCTTCAAGCCTAGTGGGCACTCTAGTTCTCCTTTTGGCAGGCAGGCACTTGTCTGTTTTGCTCTTCCCTATTTTCCTGATAGCACCTGGCCTGTAAATTCTCAGCAGATGAATTACAGGCACTGCTAACTTAATATTTATTTACTCCTAGTTCCAGCCACCTGAACAGACAGGTTAATTTGCTTTTATTTCAAAAGCTCTAGATATGGAAAAAGGACCTCAACTGTTTGTGATGAACAGTGCCTTGTCTTCCCTGTGATTGATGTGGGAACTGATTCCCTTGGGCAGCTCGTTGGGAGGCCTCCGTGAAGGTGAGAAAAGACACTATTTGTAAATGAGGCCCCATAAAAACTCCTCTGTTTGATAATTTACAAAGCATTTCCCCATCCTCATCTCTGCTAATTTGCACACAGTCCTGCAAACAGTAATGCTTTCCTACAGATCAAATGTATGTGGTAAATTCTTACTCCAAGTTAGAGGTGGGAGACTGACTATCCCATAGCTGCTATGCTGCAATTAAGTGCTGTAAATCTAAAGGAAACTGGATTGCACCAGAGAGCATAGCAATACTTGCAGTGTCCCAAACTGCAGTGGTGTACCATCAGGTAACCCAGGAGGAGCCTGGGCCCAAGGCTCCCTGTGAGAACGGCTGATGAGGATCTCTTCCAAGACTTCGTCTATGTTTCAGGTGCTCAAGGCCTCCACTGAGACCACCTCAAGGCAGCAGGAAAGGAAGCATTCTCAGAAACCATCCTATTCTGGGCTAGAAACGAGGTCTCCTTTGTGCTTGTCCCACAGCTCTGATGCTCCAAGGACTAGAGCATGTTAGAGGAGCCGGGAAAATGGTGCCCATGGGCGGCCTGAGAAATAGAGAGAAGGGAGATTTATGGAGTCCTTCCAAAGGGGGAACAGAAAGCTCTGAAAGCTATTCATCTGTTGTGAAATTAATGTGAGCTGAGGATGCCAGGGGTCTTATCATTAGGGTGCCACCGGCAGGTGACTGCTGGGTAACCTTCATACTCATCCAAGTTTTACCAAGTGTCACAGTGACATCTTTTAGCCAGGGAATCCAGTTTAGAATCAGGTACTGCATAAAACTGTCACAGTCACTTTTTGACATTTTCCTAATTTTTTTTCTTGTGTTTTTTTCTACCTTTAGGTCATATTGTGAACAGAGCTATTTTTCTAATATTTGGAGTCCAATTTAGTGGGTGAGTAAATATAAATGTGCTCATGTTTTTTCTTGAACAAACAAAAATGTGTATTTTCTTCATGTGTGCAAATGATGACCATCTATCATACATTTGTCAATGATTCCAGCTGTCTGTTCTGTACATGAGAACAGGTGCCCTGGTCAGGTTTCTAAACACTCAGATACAGAAATCAGGTGACAGATAAAGTTCTCGACAAATTATAGTTTTGCTGGACACTGTTCTCACTAGCCATCTAGCTTTTTGATTTTAAAACTTGGAGGAAAAAAAATACAGGCTTAAGAGAATCTAGATCTTTTTTTTTTGTTCCTGGAAGATCCTTCCTAAGGCCAGCTCGGATTCCCGTTTCTGACTTTGCTGGCTGCTCTGTTTACATCTTGAGTGCTCTGAACCAAGACTGAACGCAGGCCATGGTTGGTGCCGCTCACATTCCACAAACAGTTCACCAAAGACTGTGCCCAGGCCTCTGCCAGCCAAAGGAGCTTCAGTCCCCATCGTCTGATCCCAGCACCTGGGACAGAGCTCCTTTTGCTTCTTTTTTCTGAAGATTCATTTCTGCAAGCGTGTATACCTGAGGGTTTGTGGTTCAGAATACGAGTCACATGGCATGGGTCTGGTGTCTGGCACTGGTTCTGTGGTTTCCTAGCTGAATTACTCAAGGAAATTATGTAACCTCTCAAGCCTCAGTGTACCGCTCTGCAAATGGGAAATTTATCATGCCTTCTTTCTGAGCTTGCTGTAAGGCGCCATTAGTGGAATGCCTAATACAGCTGAGCCCTTAATATTTTAATAGATATTGTTAACAAAGGTAAACTACCAAAGTATACTGATCCCTTTGTCTAATGTCTCTAGATGCCTCTATTAAAAAAGGAAATAAGTCTTGGTGTTCTTTAAAAGAAGTTTTGGTGCTGAACAAAAACTCTTGGCTTCCTATAAACTTTGACCTTATGCCTTACACTGTGGCAATTGTGAATTCCACAGACATAAGCACTCTTACAAATTACAAAAGAAATCTATGTCTAAGTCCGCTTTCACGCCCCCAACATACTCACTTGTGAACCGGGACTGGCGGCCCCCGAGCCCGCACTGCCGCACCTTGCGCCCTCTGAAGAGCCCGTAGTAAATGTCCCCAAGGAACTTGACCAGCTCTGGGTCTGTGGCGTTGACCAAGTCCACTCCTGTCTGACAAAGGATTTTCCCACTCAGCCAGTGGGGTACAGTCAGAGCAACGATGAGCAGGAGGAAGGAGGAGAAGCTGAGTAGAGAGGCCAGCCCGTACCACGCCTTTTTGAACCATCCGGGCATGCTAGTGGGTACCGGTCATCCTCAGGCCCTCTGGGCAATGCTGCAGGTGGCTGACATCTTCTGGACACTCAGCAGTGCCCTGCTCCACGGCTCCTCTTCCAAACGTAACACTTCAGGATTCTGAGTCCATCCTGTCATCCTCCCTCAGCGCCTGTCTTTACAGCCCATGTTTGCTACACTCACATCCAGAAGCCTTTGCAGGGACAATGCTTGCCAAGCTTGGTGCAGTGGAGTGTGCTACAGAAGGCAGTAACCCTACCTCTCTCTCTGGACTAGTGTTTCAGCTGCAGGTCTAATTGTTCCTCTGCTCAAGTATTTACACAGCCCTGCGTGGACCTGGCAATGGCAGGGAGTTACGAACAATCGAAACCAGGTAGACTTGAGGATAGAGCAGTGGTAATGGATCTCCAGAAAGGCACATGGTGGAGGATAATGAAAATGCAATGATTTGCACTTGCACACAGCCCGCAGCAGACAGTATCAAGTGTTCATCTCTTCGATGTGTGTCTTGGCATTTCTTCCTCTAAATGTCACTGCTGTCAGAATCCCTGAAACTGTTGGTCATACAGTGAAATATTCCCAGTTCCTAAGACTTTAATTGAAATGCATAACAGCGGCTTTGTGGACTTGTCACTGAGTGTGTGGCTGAGGGTTAAGTCACAGCATGAATCTGGTGGCTGCTGGGCAGCCAGGACCTTAATACCCAGCAATCTCCTGCCTCATCCTCACCTTCCACCTCATCGGAAATGGGACAGAGCGTGTTGAATAGGAGTTATTCCACTAGGGTGTTTATCTCTTCTAAAACAGATGATTTGTCTTTTCCTTTTAACTGGTAGACACTAGGAGTGAAATATTCCATGCTTTCTATCTTACGCTATGGCTTTTTAAATTTTCACTTTTGTGGTATTGCCAGATATCAATTTAATGTTGCGTAAGACTGGTGGCAGCCACTCTACCCTATCTTTGGGGGGCAAAATTTTGCAAAAATGACACTATACATTTTTTTATTTGATCCCTAGTCTGGAGGGAGGTTGGGAAGTTGCATCCTTCACCACCAGTAGGACCCCAGGAGTCTCCCCTGGAGAGACCTGTGGCCAAGGACAAGTTACGGAAATGGAAGCTTCCGTCCTTCCATGGTGGGCACTCACTTCAGGGCCCTGAAATAAAAGAAAAGGTCAGTGTTTCTGAAGTTGTGTGTTTGTGAAGTTGTATGGAGCTTTTCCACATGCTCCCTTTTGCCTATTTTTCCAGCAAACCATTGTGGTTGGCAGGGGTGCTGTTCCAAGTTTTTTTTTTTTTTTCCCCCTGGAGGTAAAAATGGATGTCAGTGCTGGGGCCCGAATTTAGGCTTTGAAATAATACAACAGCTGCTTTTCATCACAATGACCTTGAAATAGTAGATGTTATTCGGACAATAAATGACACAATGCATATAAAAGACTTAGAAGACGGAGTGGCACATTAATAAATCACTAACAACGTGAGCTAATCTCATTTGAACACTAAGCATGCTGCTACAAGGCAAGATGTGTTTAATAGCTTGGAGTCACATTTCTGCCCTAAATGATGGAGAACCTGGGCTCAAATGCCTGCTCTTTGGGGGGCAAGTACCTGAGATTCCCACGCCTTGGCTGTCTTTTTCATTTTCTGTCTTTAACCTGAGGACTTCACATTGGCTATGTCTCCAGTCTTCTTAGTTTCTATTTTGAAACAGGGTTTGCTAAATCCTTAAACTGATTAGGCTGGACTCAAACTCATTCCTCCCTCAGCCTCCCAGAGAGCTGGGATTATAGGCATGTGCCACTGCACCCAGCTTCACACCTTAGCTTTCTAGTTTGTTGTGGGACTTGTCTGCAGTAAAGTGGATCAATGCACAGGGTTCACTTAGCACAGGGCCTGGGACGGGGAGGCCACTAAATAAATCCAGTCTACTAGCAATTCTGTTTCTGAGAATGGAGCTTCTGACCTTCCATGTCATCTGAAACGAGCCACAAGAGCATGTTAGCGAGGAGGAGTCACACTAGTGGGGCATTCATCTCTTTTAAAAAGTGAAGATCTGAGCGAAAACAGTTACAGTGACTCAGCATGGCCAGTGTAGCTAAAAATTACCTTGATAAGGCATAATTGTTGTGTTTTTTAGTTTGTTGGCCTGTTAGTGTGGCTGGTAAATAAATCTGATGTTGGCAAAAATGGGGAAAAAACCCCCCCAAAAACCTAAATAAACAAAAACAAAAACAAAAACCCCACAAAAAATAAAAAACAGGTGAAGGGGAGGGAAAAGAATTGAGAGATTTCATATACATGTGTCAGTGCTCCATGGCGAATGTAATCATTATTTATTGCAAAGAGTACATTATGTATTAGTAAAATTTTTAAAAAATTAAAATTATAAAATTATAAAACATTAAATAAAATATACTGATATAAAAATCTAAGAAAAAAAAAGATAAAAGTGAAGCTCTACCTTTTCTAGCAGGTCTAATAAAAGGTGCTGCTGGCTGCATCCTGTTCTCTAAGGACACAAGTCTGTGCGTCTTCTCTGGCCCAAGCATTATCCATGGCGGTAGGAGGCACTGTGCGTGGATGGGAGATGCACAAAGACGTTTAATACAGGGTTCTGTTGGCAAGAAGATTGTAAAAGTGTCAGCATACTGAGTGTCAAACAAAGGTTATTTTGCCCGTCAGGGGAAATTGGGCAATATCTACAGATATCTTTGACTGTTTGTAATACTGGGGGGCAGAGGTCTGCTACTGACATCTAGAGGGAAGAGGCCAGAATGCTGTTAATACCTTACCACGCACAGGACAGCCACTGTCACAAAATTTCTTGATTCCAAGAAGCAATAGTGCCACAGTAGAGAAATGGAAGCTTGCATTACTAGGATTTGTGGCTGGGAAGGGACCACATTTGGTTTGGTCTTGGAAGTGGGTCTTGGATATTCTTGGCAAGTGAGGACTTATTTATCACGCGGGTACAAAAGTTCAAGGACAACAAGACTAAACTTAAGTCCTTACCAGGCCAAAACCTGTGGCGTTATATATGTTAACAATTTTTAGGAGTTGTAATAATTCTCCCTGGTGTAATTAGTTTTAAGGGTATTAGTTTATTAAGCGTAAACATTTAAAGTATACAGCAGTATGTCATACATTTTGTGTGATTATTCTGGCAATTATTTACTTTAAAATGTGTCTCCAAATCTATACTTAATTCTACCCCAACTGGTAAAATAGAAGAGACCTAGAACTCTAAGTCTTTAGGAAGCGCAGTGAATTCTGAGTTAGAAAACTGATAAAATCACTAATATTAAGACAATCACTTGGGGCTCCCGTTACTTAGGCACTGCCCGCAGATGCTGCAGCTCAGGGACCACCCACGCTTGCGCACAGGCGCTCTGCTCGCTCAGCTCCGCCCTGCGCCCAGGGTGAGAGCCCTGATTGGCTGAAGGGCGGGGGCGTGGCGCCGCGCGCTGGAACCGCGCTTCCGGGGCGGCTGTAGCTGGTGAGCGTGGAGCGGGCGCGCAGAGCGGGGGCTCTTGCTGGCCTTGCAGCTGCGCCAGGCCGGCGGGACTCGAAGCATGGCGGCGGCAGCGGCGGGCGAGGCACGCCGGGTGCTGGTGTACGGCGGCAGGGGCGCGCTGGGCTCGCGATGCGTTCAGGCCTTCCGAGCCCACAACTGGGTAATGTGGCGGGGTTGCGGCGTCTCCGCCTGCAGGGTAGGGCTAGTGATCGCGGCCCAGGAGCTCCTAAAGCAGCCGCGGGGGGTTCCTGGAAGGGCTGTGATCCAGGGCACCCCGGGGCGTGAAAGTTCATCCCTGCCGGGAAAGTTCGGCTGGACTCTGTGGAGCACCCCAGAGTAGGAGGTAGAGGAACGGGGTGACACCACAGGAGGAGAGAGCTAGAAGGACGCCTGGTGAATGGGCTGCCTGTTTTGGCTTAGTAGCCTCATAAGTAAATTGATTGCTCGAAGCCCTCCAACCTCACTTTCCTCTCAAGTAAATAGGGTTTAAATTAGAGTCGCTGTCCTTGAAGGCACATTCATTACCCCACACGTGAGGCAAACCTGCTTCAGTGGTGGCTGTTTTGTTTTTAGCGCTATTGGACCTGAAAGTCGGAAGAGTCAACCCTGTGGCTGCCAACAGGTTCTTTGCAAAGAGTTTTTCATGTGGTTGGCACAGTCAGGTGCCCACGTACAAGGAGCAGCTCATGGGAGCAGATCTGATCGGAGTCCCCTGATTCTTGACCCCAGCCCTTGCTGACATTCTCTGAAAATCCATCCTGGGGTTGGAGGCACTGTCCTGGGAATTTAGTAAGAGCAGCAGCAGTAGCCTGGCTAAGGGGCCAAAATGAGGTTCCCAGAGTTGTCTTCTTGCTCAAAATATGGTACAGCATTGTGTTTCTAGAGAAGTCCAGACACACCACCGTGCCTCCCACCCACCTGCTCAGAACTGGGAATAGGATTTTCAAGGTCTGCAGAGGTGGAGGGGGACCATGTTCCTGCAGGGGCTGTGCATATCAGAGCTCCGTAGACACCTAATTTCATTTAATCCTCTTTAGGACGGTTTACATCTTGCACTTCCAGATGCAAAGGCTGTGCTTTTTTCTGGTGGGGAAGCCTCGGTTTACCGTTGCCGTGGGTGGGGTCTCGCAGTCTGATTTACTTCTCTCTGGCTGTTTGTCCCACCATCCCCTTCCTTCTCAGCACCGAGAAGGGTTGGATGGAGACTTTTTGGTCTCAGCATCCCCCATGGCTGCCAGGGTCCCAGTAGTAAGGGTTGATGATTGATGTGATGACAGGTTAAGGAGAAGGTGTTGCTCCTGGGACCTGCAGTTGGAAGGAGCCTAGAGCTTTCTGGGTGAGGACCTGTGTAGGAGACATCCCTCCATTTCACTTAATTCTTATACTAACCCTGTTAAGCATTAGTAACCAACTTGTTCCGGGTCCAGACATGGCGGGGAGCTTGAGAATGAGATAGCTACTTTCTGGCAGAGCCAGCATTCAAACACTGATCTCTCTTGATTCCCAAACTCAAAGCCTATTCCTCTCTGCTACGGGGCAGCAGCCCTCTAAATTCTGGTCTTCCATCATGGAATCCGGTCAGCCACTTGTACAGCCCAAGAGCTAAGCAGGTTCTTTAAAAATTATTTTTTATTTTTGTGGTACTGGGGATCGATCCCAGTCTTTGCACTGAGGTACATCTTTCTATTCTCTTGTTTTCAGACAGGGTCTTGCTAAATCCTTAAGTTGTCTAGGCTATACTTAACATTGATCTTCCTGCCTCAGCCTTCCAGAGTGCCTGGATTACAGGCATGAGCCATCACAACTAGCTGAGTTTTATATTTCAAAAAAAAAAAATCAGGAGGTCTCTCTCTCTCTCTCTCTCTCTCTCTTCTCTGTCTGTCTGTCTGTCCCTCTCTCTCTTTGTGTTTTGTGGTATTGTGAGCCAACTCAGAACATTGAACTTGGTAGGCAAGGTTCTACCACTGAGGTACACTCTGAGCCTTTCCAAAAAAGAAAAATAAAAAGACTGCTAATACTTTGTGGCATGGAAACTTAAGGAAATTCCTATTTCAGTATCTGAAGTTTTACTGGTTCACAGCTGTGTTTCTTTGTGTCCCTGCAGTGGGTAGCCATGCTGTCCTGCTATGATAACAGAGTTGAATGCTTGATTTTATGGCAGCAAAGCCTTAAATAATTATTTTTGCCTTTGCAGAAGATTTATTGACTCCTAGTGTCTCTGGAAGTGTTGCCTTTGGGAGACAACCACAGAGGAGGAAAGGAGGTGTCTGGAGGTGGAATGGCCTGGGGTTAAGTGCAGGTTGTCCAGAGATACGCATCTCTAAAAGATGTAGGAGAGGTCAACTGCTTGTTCCTTTCTCTAGTGGGTTTGTATTTTTATATTGAGCATTCCTAAATCAAAAATCCAAAGCATTCCCAAGTCCAAAACTGTCTGAGGGTCTCCATGCTGTCCCACGTGTAAGATTTTACTCCGTGTAAGTTTATTTTATGCACAAAAAATACTAGTGTTATTACAGTGTTGTGTAACATTACCTGCAGGCCACAGATACTCATGTATGAAGCAAGTAAATTTCTAGTTTAGAGTTGGGTCCCATCCTCAAAACATCTCATTTTATATTTCAAAATAAGAAAAATGCAGACTCTACTTCCAGTCCCAAGTGCATTTTGGGTAAAGGACACTCAAGTTTTCATGTGTTTTGCGTAAAGGATACTCAAGTTTTCAGTCCTTTACCTGACTAGCTCCGTATCCCCCACCCCTTCGCCCCATTTTTGGATGTGGCTCTTTTAAGGATTAGCATGTTGCTGTCTTTGGACCAAAATGATTTTGTTCTTTACTGTAGTGGGTTGCCAGCATCGACGTGGTGGAGAATGAAGAGGCCAGTGCCAGCGTTGTTGTTAAGATGACAGACTCATTTACTGAGCAGGCTGACCAGGTAATTCCAGAAAGATCCCTCAACCATCGTAACAGGGGAGCCCAGGGAGGACTGTCTTCTGGTGATAACTGCTTTTTGTTTTCTAGTTATTATTTTTATAATTATAAAGGTCATTTGCACTCATGGAGGGAAATTTGGAAAAACTTTATTGTTGAAGGAATAATGGGCAAAAAAAAAAAAAAGTCTACTTGTTTAGTACAAAAGCAGTTTTTTCCTTAAATGTTTTGATCTGAGGTTGGTTGAGTCCTTGGTGTGTCGCACACAGCTATGGATGGCTGATTGTGTTTTTTATTCTTATTGCCCTCTTTAATATGCTCCTAATGTTTGCTGGACATCATTGGTACAGCTGGCTGTACTGAGTTTAATGGTAAAGATGATATGACCTCTGGTTGCCAAGCACCATTCCAAGTACTTATTTACATTAGTGCCCCTGGTGTCTATAACATCCTCAACACAAACTTTCTGATATTTTCCTTTTGACACTGAGGGGACTGAGGCCGAGAAAGACCCTATCATTTGCCCAAGGTCAAACAGGTAGCAGGTAGCATAGTCAGGATTGGAAGCCGGGCAGTGAGGTTTGATGGCTGTAATCAACTGCTACAGTAAGATGCCTCAAAGATAGCAGTGCCATGGGAACAATGTTATACAAGCTAAAATGGAATGGGAGGGCAGAGTCTGGGGGTGGAGAACTGCAGCCCTTCTGGGTGTGGGTCTCTATGGTCGGTGTGTCTGTTTCCTGTTGGCTGCAGGCTCTGAGGTCCATATGGGTGAAGAATATGCTGCAAGATGAAGATTGAGAATGGCTTTAGTTCTAAGCTTAGGTTTAGACATCTCAACACTCCCTCCCACTACTCTGTGCCAGTTGTGAATTCCCACAGGAGTAAATTCAGTCCCGATATCTGACATGGGCCCCTGGAGAGGCACTTCAACTAAGGACAGGAGATGAAACATCTCTAGAAGATTTTTGGGCAAAAAATAACACTTAAGAGAGCGAAACTTAAAATGGTCTTAATTAAATTTTACCATAAAAGGAGTACAGACGTTAGAGGTTAAAAGAAAAAGGAGTCAAACAGGTGCATGGCTGCTGCTGGCTCCCGGCTTCCCTAACAGGTAGACATGCTGGATCAAGCTTGGGTTCCACGCATGTGCAGATCCTGCAGTGAGGCTCTGGATGACTGGACGTGGCTTGGGAAAGAAGAGCTACTCAGGGTGGCAGGAGGAACCTCAGCAAGAGAGACATCAGCACCTGGCGGAAGCCAGGGAGATGGGGGAATCTTCTTAAAAGGAGCCCTGGTGTGGTGTGTGGGAGAAGGAAGATTGGCTTCCATGGGATTCTTTCTGAGTGGTGGGAGGGGTCACTGCACTCTTCCTAGAGAAACAGACTCATGGACACGGGCCTGTCTTCAGGTGGTTCTTTTAGCCATTTACAACAAGAGGGTATGACTATACTGTCAGTGCTTTGAAATTCAAACAATCAAGTAGAGAGAGCTTCCTGGTCTCTTTACCAATATTTTGCTGTTGACTTACTTTGTTTTCTTATAATTTTTCCCTTAGTTTCTTATAGCAGTTTTTCTTGTGTGTGTTTTCTTTTGAGTTACAGTTAGTGAGGGTTTATTTATTTATTTTCCTCCCTCTGGTTTTAGGCAGTCTTCTGAACTTGGCTTTAGAACAAAGCTTTGTGCATTACAGTGAATAGATATGTGTATATAGAAGCTAATCCAGCTACTGTGTTGATGCGGATCTCTGTGGTCTCCCTGGACTGGGCAGTGGTCAATACCTCATGGGTTGACTCCTGGCTGCAGGATGTGGTACTGCTGAGTTAAGTGTCTGAGCTTCTCAAGTTGACACAGTTTCTCAACCATTATAATTCTCTTCTCAGACTACGATTTGGATAATTTAGAAAGAAAGTTTAGAAAGGAATAAACTAGAATGTTAGCTGAGGGCCATGTAGTCTAGATGACTTTCTAAAAACCCTTTTGTCTTTTTCTTTATTAATTTTTATTTCAGGAGGTACTTATGTCTCCACCTTTTAGAATGTTCTGAAGGAACTTTTAATTTGCTTTATGAAAATCACATCGAAAGGCAGTTGGATTAAAATGCTCATTGGAGATGAGTCGTCCCTGTAATTTCCTGTGTCAGTTGACAGACACTGGCTTCAAAGAAGAGGAAAAGGAGCTGAGGTGTCTGTCAGGATGCCACCCTGTTTCCGTTTTCATTTCATTTGTGCATTTTTTGTTCCAGGTGACCACTGAGGTTGGAAACCTTTTGGGTGAGGAGAAGGTGGACGCCATTCTTTGTGTGGCTGGAGGCTGGGCTGGAGGCAGTGCCAAATCCAAGTGTGAGTCCTTCTCTTAAGTTAATCATTCATTCCGCTCTGCTCTTCGCCCTGCTGGAATCCATCAAGTACAAGCTGCGTGCCAGACAAGAGCTGTTTTTCAGTGTCTCCCCAAATTTTTCAAATAATTCTGTGTCTCAATTTGTTTTGTGCTGATTCAACAGAATACCTAAGGCTAGGTGATATATAAAGAGCACAGATTTATTTCTTATAGAGTTCCGGCTGGGAAGTCCAAAGTGGAGCTTCAGGCCTCTGGGGAAGTGCCCTAACTGCGTAATCCCATGACAGAGGTCAAAAGAGAAGGGACAGGAAAGGGCTGAACTAATCCTTTTGTCGGTAGTCTCCAGTATTGGTGGAATTAGTCCGTTCCTGAGGGCAGAAGTCTCATGACACAATCACCTTGAGCATGGGGGACACATTGAGACCATAGCACACTGAGGTAGTGCCTGACACCTCGTTCACAGGTGCAGAAGCATCTTCCCACAGAGGTGATGAGCAGGGGAGTTCAGGGAAGTTCAAGGTAGAGGCAGAATGGAATCAGCATTGTTTCTGTCCTAACCTTCAGGGCTTGCTGTCTTCAGGAAAGGGGGGATATGCATGAACTGCAGAGATTACTTTAAGTTTGAAAGAACTCAAAATTTGAACTTTTGTGAAGTTCTCAATTTTCTGTAGTGAACATTTTCAGTCACACAAAGTTGAAAGAACAGTTCAGTGAACACTTTTCTAATCTCTGTCAGAAGTCAGGAATTGTTAGCATTTGCCACACTTGCACACTGGCTCCCTTGTGCATGTGCATTTAGCATATTTTTTGTAAACCATTTGAAAATGAGCAGACATTTGACCTGATTTCAGCATGAATCTCCAAAGAAAAAGCCTGCTCTTCTATGTTATCATTATATATAAGAAATGTAACAATAATTCTAGAAAATTAATAATGTCAAATTGTAATTATGTTGTTTTTTGCTTTAAAAATCTATCCCTCTCCCCGGCCTTGCAAAGACTGTTTAAGGCAGATTTTATATAGAATATTCTGAATTTATCTGACCATTTTCTCTAAGACATCATTTGACATGTTCCTCTTTCCCTGGTTATTTCCTGTTTAGACTTGATTCAGGTTAAACATTTTTGAGTTGATAATCCATCCTGAGTGATGTTATATGTTTCATATTACGTCACATTGGAAGGCTAGAGTGACAGATTGCCCTATCTGTAGGAATTTGATGCTTGGCTAAGGTCGTAACTGCCAGACTTCTATTGTAGAAGATCATTTTCCTGTTTGTGATGGGTCAGTGGTCCACGTGATGGTACTGGGGTACTGTGTGTGAATATCCTGATGTCCTAATCCTTTTTCTCTAATGGTTTTAAGTATCCATTGATAATCTCTATCTAAAACAGTTACTATATTGGGAGGATAGAAAATAGTACTTCTGTCACTTCATCATTCTTTCTACATTTAGTAACTAATGCCATTGAAAGAGCAGTTGAAATTCTGTGAACCACTTTTAAAATGTGGAATTGCTATTTTGTGGGGCAGTTAGGTTGGAAGAATAGCCCAGTTACCTTTTGTGTATTTTGAGGGGAAGAACTGATAAATGTGGATCTGTCAGATTTTTTTTCCTAGTCGTTTTTAGCAAGGAAATGCAATACCTGGGTCACATTTACTGGCCGCTTTTCTGATATCAAGAGGGATTTCTTTCTGGATCATGGGATTTCATATGTAAGTTGCCTCGTCAGTGGTGTGACGTATGACACTTGTTCCTCCTATCTTGCTAATGTGAAATGGTTGTTACTTTAGTTCTTTTAAAAGGTTTTTAAAGATGGCATTAACTTTGAGCCATAAAAAAATATAGCTCTGTAAAAGCCCTCTTTATGGCCATATGGTAATAGTTCCTTGGATTTTTATCATGGATAAAAGCTGACATAGGCATATAGGATCTGATTATAAATCTGATACTCTTAAAAAGGTAAGTATTCTTTAAATGAATGCCAGTCTCCAACAAATCTGTTAACTCTGGATTTGTTATAATTTGTTAGCTAAAGTTTTTGCCAGTTTACAGGTGAGACAGCTGAGATTGCACAGGCTGGGCTCAAACCTGTGTCTCTGGCCACCGAGCCTGTGTGTTCTGTGCTAGGCCAGGTAGATAGGGATGGGGGCTGGGAGAGCTTCCTGGGTCGGGCTGTGTGACCTGAGCTCATTTCAGTGTCTGGGAGTGCTCAGCCCACATTTGTTTCTTCCTGTTCAGCTTTTTTAAAAAACTGTGACTTGATGTGGAAACAAAGCATGTGGACGTCAACCATCTCTGGCCACCTGGCCACCAAGCACCTCAAGGAAGGGGGCCTCTTGACCTTGACTGGTGCCAAGGCTGCCCTGGACGGGACTCCTGGTAAGTCTTCACTTCCGTGTCTGAACTGGGAATAAACCTTACTTGCTGGGCTGCTGGACCTTTCCTAGGATAAGGGGTGAAAGTTCTTTGTCTCCTCAGGAGCTTTACAGTTGGGTGGATTTTGCTTCCTTTTATGTCTGAATCTTTTTAAGTCCTGATTTTTTTTCATTTGTATTTGTCTTTCTGTTCATGGTAGTGGAAGAATATTGCAATCTGATACCCTGCTTTAGCCTCCTGAGTACAGGGATGACCCAGAAATGAATGGTGTCGTAGATATTTATTAGTAGATAAACATCAATTATTGTTGATACTTTGTGATCACATGTCCTGGAAGTAGCTCTTTAGAATAAGGGCAACTGGGAGTGCATTCTTCACCCTGATTTCTGGCCAGATTTCCACTGTCATCTCGTCATTTGTAAAGCAATGACAGTAAGGTCTTCTGAAGAGTAGTATCTTGTTTACTTTTCTCTTGCTGCTGAGACAAAATACTTGACACTCAAAGTGAAGGAAGGCAAGGTTTATTTAGCATACAGTTTTTAGAGGTTTCAGTCCATACTCAGCTGGCTCCAAGGCAGGGTGACATGGCTGAGGGGAACCATTCGAGGTGGCTGCAAGCAACAAGAGCAAAAGGGCAAAAACAAAGGGAAGGACATGCCTCTTTTCCTCCCTTATATTGTATGTGCAGCACTCACACCACCAGTCCCAGCACTAGACAGGGAACCAATCACAAATGCTAGACTCAGCTGTCTCCAGGACTGCATAACACTTAGGTGGACACCCAGGCACAAAGCACAAGCAGCCATAAAGCTGTAGAGCTGTTAATATGTAGATGGAGCCCTGCACATAGTAGGCAGCAGAATATGGCAGGTCTTATTAGATTCACTGTTTGCACTGAGTGTATATTCTTATTTAATCCTGGGGTAGGCATCATTGTCATTTTCTTTCAGGTTGTAGATTAGAAAACTAAGAAGAGTTAAATAAATTGTCAACAATAAATAAATTGCAAGCTTACTTTGAACCCAGACCGTGATTATTTCCAAATTGTGTGCTGTTCCATTCCATCACGAAGTCCCTAGTCTCCTTTGTGTTTTTTGTTCTCTGAATTTGTGTGCTGGGCCACCGCAAGCTGGGTGGCTTAAACCAAGGAAATTTCTTCTTTCTCAGTTGTAGAGCTGGGCGTCTGAGGCAAGGTGCTGGTGGGGCTGGTTTTTGTTATGGCCTTTCCCGGCCTTCTCATGGCCCCTCCTCCCTGTGCCTCACTGTGTCTTCTCTCTGTGTGTCCGTCATAGTGGAGGAGGGTCGCACCCTGATGACCTCATTGTGTTAAAGACCCTGTCTCCATCCTCAGGTACTGGAGATTAGGGCTTCAGTATGGTAATTTTAGGGGGATGCAGTTCAATCCATAACACCTCTTTCGGGACAAGGCCAGTGGAATTTAAATAAGCATGGAGGGGCAGAAAGTGCCCACCTGTGCTACCAAAATTAGACTTTTCTTCTGTGTGTCCTTGGGTGTAAGTAGTGGAGATCTTGGGTGCTTTCTCAGTATTAAAGTAACTCACTGAATTGCCAAGTGCTTGTTAGCAATTTCTTGCCACTTGTTTTCTTTACGGCATTTCTCAGAGCTTATGATCTCACACGCCCATGGCTGTTGCAATATTTAAAGCTGTGTAATGTTAGATATACTTTTGATTGAGATCTAACTTCCATGAAAGGTGACAGAGGCATTAGAAAATAGTAGAGAAATAGGTCATAGTTTGATGTTTTAAACACAAAACCGTAGGACTGCATTTTTTCTTTTTCTTTCTTTTTTTAAAATTTTTGAGACAGGGTTTCCCTATGTAGATCAGACTAGTTGGATTCACTATGTAGTCCAAGCTGGCCTCAAACTTGCAGTGATCCTCCTGCTTTAGCCTCCTGAGTACAGGGATGACAGGTGTGCACCACCACATACAGCTAAGACTATGCTTTTTTCCTGAAGGAAAAAACAATCTTTTACTTTCCTTTTGTTTGTAAGGACAGATGGCCCCAATTTACAGTGATTTAACTTAACAGATTTTTGACTTTACAATGGTGAGAAAGCATTCTGATTCTGCTTTTCATTTTCAGAACACTCTTCAGTAAATTACATGAGTAAGTCAGCTGTGAGTATAAAATAGGCTTTGTAGGCTGATGTAAGTGTTCTGGGCATGTCTGAGGAAGGCTAGGCTAGAAGCATAAGGTTCAGTAGGTTCGTGAGTTTCTGACCCTCCTATATTTTCAGGTTATGATATCAGATGCAGCCTCGCCGTGTGTGTACCTTGTGTATGTTTCTGGACCGTGGTGGAGACTGCTTGCTCTAGAAGCCCCCAGGCCGCTGGTCTGCTGTGGCTGTGACTCTTCCTGTTACACATTTGGCAGGTTACTGAATCACTCTGAGCTTCGGTTTTGTGCAGCTGGGGATAAATAATAACATCTCTGTTATGTGGCGATGTGACTGGTGGGTTTCTAAATGCCATAAGTGGTCCTGGAAGTCGAGACCGAGATGCGGTAGTAAATGTGAACTCTTGTATGCTTCTGGCTTGCTTTTTCCTTCAGCTCCTGCTTTGGATAATAAGCTTGTTCGTCTTTAAACTCTTAGGTTAGATGCTGCTGAAGTAATGTGAGTCATGAGACCTTTTAACTTTGGTCAGATTCCCCACAAAATATGGGGAAATCTATACTTTGAAGGTAAATGATGAATCAGGCTTAGTAGTTAGTTCTTCAAACCCAAGATTTGTCCGGAAATGAAATATTTTTACTAGGAAAGATACTGAGTAACGCTCCCTGCGCATTTCCAAGGCTGTATTTGCAGAATGTCTGCTGGAGAGTAAACTGTATTAAAATGTTGGGGACCTCTTGATTACTCTTGAATGATCAGTGCTGTGAATGAAAACCACTTTTCAGGAGCCACACTGGCCGCTTTATGTTTGGGAAGAAAGTGTTTACCTTCTTAGTGATGGGCTCTTTTTCCGTATCTTGTAAATGGTCACTTGTCCACATTGTGTGCCAAAGAAGGTGGTGATTCATGTAGAATTAAGCCGACAGGGTTGCTGGTTGTTCTTTTCCTTCCACAGATTCCCGACTCTCGTGTTGTTTATATGGGATGAAAAGAGAGCTCTGAGACTTTGCTGAGTTTGTTGTATTTTATATCATCACCTTGGCTTCCTGCCCTTGAGTAAACAAAGAAGCCCTAGATGGTGAAATACTCTTTTTTGTGCTCCCAAATGACTTTTTGAGACCTTGACCCCCGACAGTTCAAGGTTGTTGTTGCAGTGGGTTAGCGATTGGACCCCAGGCTGACTGTGACCCCACTCTCTGGACTCGGGGAGCCTTCTCAGCCATTGCTTTTGACATGGGTGTGCAGGGAGCTTAAAGAGGCTGCCAATGTGTGGGAGGTAGAGTGGTTTTCCCAAGGAAGAGAGAGGTTTACTGTAATTAATCTTTCTTTTTTGTTGCCATGGTAGCAATATCCAGTGAACAGCTGCATTTGCATGCAGCAGGGAACACAGAGGAGTGAGCGCTCATTTGGCCCTACGCAGGTGGAGGACAGCTAGCTGGAGACCATGCAGGAGCTGGGGTGCTCAGGGCCCAGGATTTGACAGCTGGAACTTGAGGGAAAAGCTGAAAAGACACGTTTTTTGTTTTTTTGGTTTTTTTTTTTTTTTTGGTACCAGGGATTGAAGACACATATTATTTTATTTAAAATTACTATTATTTCAAAGTTAGTTTGCATGGAATATTAAGAAACTAAGGAATCACTAGGGTGGGTTTTATAGTTTTAGTGAAACAAAGCTCTCTTTTTTATAATTTCTTTTTGGTACTGGATATTGAATCCAGGATTTTTACCCTCGGTAACATCCCAGGCCTTTTTTATTTCTTATGTTTTAATTTTTTAAAATTACTTTGAGACAGGGTCATTCTAAGTTATTAAGTTGCCCAGGCAAGTTGCTGGGCTTGTGATCCTGGCTTTGTTGACAGGAGAGCCCTGGCTGGCCCGCACGATGGTAGTAAAGAAAATAGAGACACTCCTCATGTGACAACCAAGGTCAGTTCCTGTGACTAGGTCCTTAAATGAGGCATTGTACGTAGCATGTGCATCACAAGATTCACAACAAAGAAATGATCAGTGGAAATCCAACTTGTTGCCTTTGCTTGTACCGTAACCATTACATGCAGTACTGTCATGTATAAGAGAACACAAAACTATAATACAGTCAGCAAAAGTCACAGTACTGTGTAAATAAGGTGCAAAAAAAAAAAAAAAAGACATCAGGGCTCTTTTAACAAGATGTGCAGAACGGTACAAATAAGACCGGTCTTAAGTCTGAGCTGGAGGTCCTGAGTCAGAACAGTGCCCCTCGTCACTGAGCAGGCAGGTCATCACGTGAGGACTGTGTAATCTCAAGGCTGGGATGGCGGCAGTGAGTCGGAGAAAGCACAGGCTGCTGCTGCCCTCAGCTGATAAGGAAGGAGGTGCTCCCAGCAGGCAGCAGATACCTGCGTGATCCCCGGAGGACTGTTCCGCAATTGTGGGGACCGAGTGGGAGAGTGGAGAAACACCCTTCCCTTTCTGTGCCAGCCACCGTCAGAGCATCTCCCCACCAGGGACAGAGCCAAGTCCTTTGGCACAATACCGTGCTCCCTGCCCCGCCTGCCTGCCAGATCTCCAGGGCCCTTGCTGGGCGCCATCTCCTTGGGTCCTTAGTGCAGCTGTGTGAGTAAGTGCAGATCTGAGTTAGCATTTGCAGTGCCCATGACGCATGGGATGACAGGCCCGAGCATCTGTAATTGTTCAGTCCTCCAGAGAGTGCGAGTGAGAGGCCCTCTTTGTGTTTCAAGTCCAGGACCCTTCCCACTGTCCCTTACTGCTGGCCTGGAATCCTGGCGACAAGCCCAGAGCAGCTGTTGGGAAAATTGTAAGGAACACAGAGGCTCAGGGGACTGCACATCCTTGCTGTTACAGTGTCGCTGTCGCTGGTGGCCAATGGTAACTGGGCTGTTTTCTCCCTTCTTCCAGGGATGATCGGCTACGGCATGGCCAAGGCTGCTGTCCACCAGCTCTGCCAGAGCCTGGCGGGGAACAAGAGCGGCCTGCCACCAGGGGCCACCGCTGTTGCCGTGCTCCCGTAGGTGCCTGGGGTCTCTGCCTCTGCCCACCACCGAGGGCTGGCTTTTTGTCTGAGAGGCACTTCCTAGCAGAACTGGCATGTGCATCCCTGCAAGTCTAAGTCACCAGAGGCCTTTAAGAGATTGGCCTTAGTGGTGAGCCTTCATGACCTGGTCACCTAACAGCCAGCTCTCAGTACCACACTGAATGTGTGGGCGGGGCCACACCTTCTGCCCAAAGTGGTGTTTCTTGTCCGGAATGGTTGATTGGCTGGTGGGATGGGATGGGTTTGCTTTTTTTCTTTTGTTTTGCTTGCTTTTCTGTCTCCATTTTTACTTCTTTTAAAAGTAGACTGCACATTTTATTTTACTATATGTAGTTCTGTTTTCCACGTTGTAAGGTTAGAGGGTGTGTGTGTGTGTGTGTGTGTGTGTGTGTGTGTGTTCTGTCTGTCTGTCCGCAGTGCACTGAGGGCCAAGTGTGGGTGGTGGTGTGGCGGAGGGTATGTGGGAGCACATGGAAACCCTGGGGCTCTTTTCTGTATGTGACCAGGGTGTCCCCAGTCAGCTGTCCCAGGCAGAGGCAGCTGTCTGGGAGAAGGTATGTTCCTCCTGGGAAGAGCGCCAGCACCCACTGGCTTACCTCCTGCCTGTGGTCCTGTAAAGGGACACTGGGACTTCTGCGAGACTGTGCTGACTGACTTTGCAATTCCCTTTCTGTTGGGAAGGTTTATGATTCTGTGAGCTGTCTCCACAGCTAGTCAGATGAGTCCTGAGGCCTGGGTGTGTTTGTGAGATTGAGCATATCTGAATTCTACATTCTCTTGCTAAAAAAGCGTAAGGGTTCATGGGGAGCAGCCATGTGTTTCAAAAATTTGGTATTTTAATATTCTCATATTTGAAGGACTATTATTCCACTTAGATCCTCGGAAATGAGTCTGCTGCATTTTCAAGAGTGCTTGAAGACTTTTAGTGTTACTGAACAAGTAATTCAATAAAGGCTGTGTTTAAGATAGAGGCAAAAAGTGGCTCTTCCCATTTTGTGCTTATCTGCCTAAAGGCTGAGTCACAAAGAGCCTGATTGAATTCCGTGCAGAGGTGATTTTTGTTGATGTGGGCAGCTTCCTGGTCTCTCTCTGCTTATCCTCTAGTCTGATCTCTCACATAAATGTCATGCTTGGTGCCCAAGGCTCACCGTGGAAACACTGCATGTTTGCATTTTGCTGGCGGAGGAGGCCTGGGCACCTGTTACACAAATGACAAGCTTATCTCTGTTCATTGCAGGGTTACCCTGGATACCCCGATGAACAGGAAATCAATGCCTGACGCTGACTTCAGCTCCTGGACACCCTTAGAATTCCTAGTCGAGTGAGTGTCACAGTACTCTTGTGACTCAGCAGCTTCTAGCACCTATTCTCTGCTGTTTGTGGGGTACCAGACAAGCCCGTGTTCTCTGTCATCCAAGGGTGGGCTTGTGTGACTTCTGGGCCTTGGAGGATTTCAGGCATGTTGGGTCTCAATCTAAAGCCCAGGGATCAATAGGGTCAGCATGACCCCGACTTCCTCTCTCACTGTCCTGTCAAGCTGAGCGTGTTAATTATGCCAGGCCTTGGTTTGCGAGTCTATATACCGAGGTCTGTGATAATGGTTAGGAGCATGAAATGCAGTAGTGTGCACTTAGCACTTGACAGCATCTGACCCACAAACTGAATGCATGGCAAACCTCAGCTCTTGCTCCTGCTGTTGCCAGTGTAACTGGAAACAGCTAGAGGTAGGGGGACACTGCCGGAAGGTCTGCATTCAGTGCCAAGCCCTAACCCTGCAGCATGTGGCCTTTGCTTCTGAAGTCCTGTTTGCGGGCTGGTATCCTGTTTGTGGTATCAGAATGCTCACGGGAGCAAGAGCTGCTGCTGTTTGGCGTGTGCCCCGTCTCAGTGTCTCAGACCTTCTCCTTAGGGAGTCTGAGGTGGAGGAGCCTACCCTCCCCGGCAGTGCCGGTATGATAGCTGGTTTGACAGCTGTGCAGGATGCTGCAGAGGTTGGGATGTTCCTTAGGCCCACTGTTACAATCTCATTTAAATTAAATAGGGTGACATCTGGGACTTGTATTTGATGTTTGAGATAAGTACCTACACATCACTTGTTATATGTTAAGTACCATTCTAAGCATTTCCTGTTATTTAATGCTTATAACAAACTTGCCTTACAGAACCTGAGGACTTGGAGACTGTGTGGTGGGGCGGGGAGGAATAAAGTGCTTCAGATCACCCCAGGAGAGCCAGCCTGTGACCCAGCCAGTGTGGTTGGATCCATTTAGCCATAGACTTGCACTAGAAATCTTAACCCAATCCTTGACTTACCAAAAAAAGAAAGAAAAAAGAAAGGAAAGAAGAGAAAATTGAAGTTTGGAGTTGCAACTGAATTTCTTTTTTAAGACCACTACGTTCCAAAACCCTCGAGAGAGACATCGATCCAGAGCTGAGACTCTTGGTGAAACGTTTGGGCCTTCCTATGTGAGTTTGTGCCAAGCTCCAGTCTTCAGAAGTCCCCATCACAGCTGTCTTTTGCTCTAGAAGTCATGCTCACCCATTTGTGTATTTGAAAACTCACTGGAGAGTTTGGCATGTAGTCTTCTTTGAAATGACTGTGAGCACACTGCCTTCCTTACTGTCCAGGATTAACTAGCACGGTGTTCTTTCTTATCCATTCCAGATACTGATGAGGGTGAAGGAGAACTACTGTAAGATGAACATGACGGACACACAAGCCCCTATACCCCCAAATGATCTCAGAGCCAGCCTGGCTAAGCTCTGCCCTGCCTGAGAAATAGATGGTTCCTGATGCTCTTACTATATTTTAGGGAGTTTCAGCAGTGCTTTGATTTTTGAGCCATGCCCTTGGCTTGTGCAGCCCCAGAGAGGGAGCTCGGGTGCCTAATAGCTAACCATCAGTCCTAGCCTAGGAGTTACAGATTGGCTCTATGGAGCACTCCAAGAGTGCCTGAGAGTGCTCCAGGCAGAGATGGTCTGAATTCTCAGTGGTGAATTATCAAAGTGGGTGGTGAACTCAAAACTTAGCTTTTAAAAAGTTATCATCTCCTTTAGCTCTTCCTTGTGCCCTTTTTAGTTTTTATCTTTCCTAGAGAAGATTTTCCAGCTGCTCCAAGCAGGCCTTGTTGCCACTGTCTATTCGAGTTGCTTGTTACATGTTCCCACTACTGTACTTAATCTAATTTTGTTCTAATAGTCTGCATTTTTATATTTCTTCTTCCATCATTTGGCACAGGCATGGGTGCCCCATAAAGATGTATTTTTAAAAAATGAATTTTCTCTTTTTCTTTCTTTTAAATTTCTAAGAAGTTATAATGTACAATTGGTTCTCTGTGGGTTCTGTGTGTCCTTGGATTCAAGCAACCTTCATTGAAAAGAATTGGAAAACATTGACTTCTGTACTCACCCTGTGCATGCTTGTCATTATTCCTCAAGCAGTGCAGTCTGACAGCTATTTACATAGTACTAACATCATAGTAGGTGGTGTTTACAAGCTAGCGATGATTTGAAGCACTGGGAAGGTATGTGAGTAGGTTACATGCAAGCACCACACCAGTTTATCTCAGGGACTGGAGCATCCTTGGATTCTGGTATCCTGGAGATCCTACAACCAAGCTCTTGCACATACCACGGGATGTCTGTGTTGTATACCTATCTCCTAAAATCTTTTTTAATCACTTAAAAGTGACATCTCTTTTAATCACTTGAAATCATACCACCATATTATCAAGAACCCTGACTGGGCTGTGAAACAGAGAAATGAAAGTTTAAAGGGAGAAAGTTGAAGAGGAAAGTAAAAATGATCCAGATGTGATGTGTACCTGTTCTCCAAGATGACTATTATATATATGTATATGTATATACAGTTAATTCCACATTATCTCAGCCTCTCAGAAATTAGAATGGGTAAGGTACTTCAGGGACTCTTCGGGGTCTTGGTTCTGTGCCATGATGCCTAGCGTTACTGTCACAGCTACATCACCCCTGCCCCAGGCACCGATGTAAATATGGGCAGGTGGCCAGACTTTGCTTTGAAAATGAGAAGTATCTCTTCTTTGTTCTAGAACGTTCCATGACTGGATCACAGGGAAGCACCGACCCCGCTCAGGAAGCCTGATCCAGGTGGTAACCACCAAAGGAAAGACAGAGCTTAGTGAAGTGTTCATTAAGCTGCTTCCCTGAGCCCAGGAGGAGCTGCCAGTGGAGCCACTAACCCGCCTCACCGCCTCACGTCTGGCCCTGTGTCCCGTCGTCCTGTCTGTGGTTCAGGTGGCGAATCCTGTCTTCTCTCACCTTCTGCGCATCCATTCTGGACATCGTACTGGGTCTCTGTGAACCAGCAGATGCGATCGGAGGCCCACATTTCCTGCCCCACCGTCAGACCACGTGAAGAGGTCTTAGAATGGCCTGTCCCTGTCGATGCCCTGCTGGACTGACTCGCGTCTGCCCCCAACGGTGGCTTTGTCTTCTCAGTGTGGTGACTTGTTGCTGTCTGGGGCATTCTGAGGGCCAGGTTATCCGCCAGTGCCATGTCTGTGTCATCGCTATAGTTTTAGTGATCTTCAATTAAACTGCCTTAAAACTTCATGTGGTGTGAGCAAAAAGTCCTGCAGACTCTGTTGTGGTGTCCTTTTTAGCATGTAGTTGCCAGCTGCCCCCTGGCCAGGAGTTGTGTGCACAAGAGAAGTACTTATGAGTCTTTGGAGTGTTTCTGTTTTTCCTCCAAATAAATGCACTTCAGTCATTGTGTTGTCTTCTTTAGCCAAACTCTATCTTGTACATAGTGGTTGTAGTTGAGCTATAGAATCATGAGCTGCTGGATGTGGTGTTTTCAGAGCATGTGTGGAGTAAACCCAGGCACAAGCCTGGGCACATCAGACTGCATGGAGCGAGGTTGCTGGCCGTGTGGCTGGCTGGGGCCCTTCTGGTTGAGAACCTGTGGTGTAATCTCACCTGGCCATTTTACAACTCAGCAGACTGCAGCTCAGGACACTTAACCTTGTTGCCAGTAAGTGGCACGATCAGCCCAGAACCGTCACCAGATCCCTGCTATTTATAAAGGCTTCTGCTATGTTTGCTTTTTTCTCTCTCCCTCCCTCCCTCCTTTCCGCTTTCCCTCCCTTTCTCCTTCCCTCTCCTCTTTTGTTTGTTCTTTTTTTAGTGAGATAAAGTTCACATAAAATTAACCATTTGAAGATTAGCAGCGCAGTGGCATTTACATGTTCACAATGTTGTGCAACCATCATGCATTTCATTGCTTCAAATATTTTCATTGCTCCAGAGTAAAATCCAGGGCCCTTTAAGCACTTCCTCTGTGTCCTCAGCCTCCCCCACTGACATCCCACTGGCCCTTGGTGTCCACCAATCTGCATTCCGTTTCTGTGAAGTTACCTATCTGGGTATGTCGTATAAGTGAAATCATGTATTTCTGACCCTTATGTCTGGTTTTTTTCACTTAGCATAATGTTTTTAATGTTCCTCTACATAGCATGTGTGGGTGATTTTTTTTCATAACTGGATAATCTCCCATTATATAAATAAATTTTGTTTATTCGTTGATTTGTTGATAGACATATGGACAGTTTTCCCTTTTGGCTGTTGGGAACATCCATGTGCCAGTATTTACATGCCAGTATTTCAGTTCTTTCAGGTAAATGTCTAGGGGTGAGTTTGCTTGGTCTTACAGTAATTCCTGTAATTTTTGAGAAGTTTTTAAGAATTACTGTTATCAACTTGAGGGTGATGGTAATCAGATGTTCCAGGAAAGCAGATGGGCACCCCCCAGGAAGAAGGACTGATTGTTCAAAGTCTTGTGATTGAGTACATCACAGCTATAACTGGGACACAAATCCAGCTGTTAGTAGCACCTGCACAAATTACCTAGTCTCACGTGTGCACTGCTCTGTCTCATCCTAAGAATAAGATGGTTTTTCTTTTTCTTTTTTTAAATTTTGTTTTAGAAGAAAACCAAGCAAAATAAAACAGAATAAAGCCAATGAAAACAAGACAGTAAATGACATGGGATTTTAAAACAAGATAATAGGAAATCAATAACAGTTACTATAATGCCTCTTACTCTCTTCCAAATAGCTGCCGATACCTTCCAACATAGTAAAATCAAACAAAAGTGAAACACAATAGAACCAATAAAAATAAAACAATGAATGCAATAAAGGACTTCGAAACAGAGGCAGAGTAAATCCAAAATGGCTACCATAGAATATGTTGTTATCTTCAAAATAACTGCCCATGCCATCAGGTACTACAAAATTAAACGAGATAAAACAATAAGACCCAAACAAAACAATGAGTATGATACAGGATTTTGAAACAAGACAATAGGGAATTAACTATGGCCACCCCCTCAGAAGGATATTCCCTCACAGATGCTACATTGCATATTGTTTTCTTCTGAACAGATGATCAGACAATGGGGCTTTAAGCCTGCAAAGTCAGTGAAACACTGAACACTACAAGCATTAAGTTGTATTTTACCTCATTAGCTATCATCACAGCCTGTGTTTCTCAGGATCAGCTGGTGGCTTAGAGGAGAGGGGCAGAGTCTGGCTCTCCCCCGGGTGGCCTGAGCAAGGAGCTGACTCACAGGAGGTCTCAGTTTCTTGTTAACTTTTTGCTCTGCTCCTGCAGTCTGCAAATGGCATAGACTACTGGAGGGGACCTGGCTCTCCCCCAGTCAGCCCACATGGCCTGGTTTTCATTTTTCAAATGAAGAAACAGTTCCATAATTTAAGGGGCTGGGTGAGGATACAGTTATTTCAAGAGAACTGGTAGTTTCCATCCTATTTGGAAACCAAACAATTTTTGAAGTATCTCTGTCAACAAAACTGAAAATCATTTCAGTTATGCAGGAAAAAGTATTCCAGCTCACTCACCAGGGAGCAGTCCGGGAAGGGTGGCTTTGGGCAGAGAGGAAGTAAACTGAAATGACAGTAAGTGTGCAAAAGAGCACGAGTTCTCTAACATGAAGAGTTAGGAGGAGCACAGACACACTGACAGCTGCCACTATTGGTGTGTTTTGGGCTACTGTAATGTACCATGAGGCTGAGCAACATTATAATAAAAGAGATTTCTTTTGTTGACAGTTCTGGAGGTGACAGGCTTGAACCTTATGATGGGAGTTAAGTTTCAACCCATGAACCCTTAGAGGACACAAATTATACTCAATGTGTAAGAGAAATTGAGGAGAAACAACCAGTAAGGCAAAATAATAAGGAGGCAGAGCAGAGAGAGGAAAGTAAAAGGAAAAAAATTAACCAGCAGATCATGATTAGCAGTGGCCAGTGTCGCCAGGAAGTGAGACACAAAGGCTAAAACCTGACCACTGGGTTTCTCCCTGGGAGGCCACTGTGACCCTGGCAAGCGGTTCCAGTAGAGCAGGAGGAACAAGATTAGGGTGGACTTTGGAAAGCACTTATTGCAGCGATGACTTTAACTTGTTTAGACCCCGTGAAGTCCTTTGCACAATTCTGCCCTACTTTGGATTGACTGCTTTCCCAGACTGCCGTCTTTGCTGGAATCACTTCTTAAGAGGCTGACCTGATTTGTGTCACCCGAGCCCTGGTTTATTAAGCGTTCAGTTTTCCTCAATCCAAGCTGGTGTGAAAAGTGCTTGCCCCTAGGGGCTCTTTTCCAGCCGTGTTCCAGATGGTGGCTTCTGCTCGCTCTCCCAATGGTCTGCCACCTGATTGGAGGTCCCCCCACCACATTCCTAGAAGCCAAGAGTGTACACAGCTTGTGAGAAGAGCCAGAGCTGCGGAATAGTGAGAGGAGGCCCTTATGGGCTGTTCCATTAGACAATTACGACTTTTTCTTTAGAGCTTTCAGTCTAAAGCTTGAGTCCCACTTTCCACCCACGATGGGAGTAGAGTTGTGGAGGGGCTCAGAGGAAGACTTCTTGGATTGGAACTTGGTTCTTCTACCTACTTACTGCACAACCTTGAGGACGATAATATCCTCAATTAATGATTTCCAAGGATTATACAGATACAAAGAGACCAGCACATAGAAGTGCTCAGAAAGTATTAAGTATTATTCTTATTACTCATTTTTAATTTTATATCAAAACATGATAGGAAAGTACTAACTTTCACCTGTTGCATATAGTGATACTTCCTTTTCATTGCCAAATAGTATTCCACTATCTAAGTCTGTCCCATTTTTGTTATCAATTTATGAGTCCTTTGAATTCTGTCTGCTTATTGGCCATTATGAATTATGATGATGTGAACATTCATGTACAAATCTGGACATATGTGTATGTTTTCATTTCTCTTGGGTTTATGTGAGTAGAATTATTAGATTCTACTCATAGTAACTCTGCATGTGACCATTTTAGCACTGTACATTGTGTACTGCTTTCCAGAGTAGTGGCATCTGTTTGCTTACTCATCAGCAGTGTGTGCTGGTTCCAGTTTTCCGTGCCCCAAGGACCTACACCTGTTGTTGTTTGTCTTTGTATTACAGTCATCCTCGTGGGTGTGAAGTGTCCCTTCATTGTGATGTTGCTTTGTGCTTCCCACAGAGCTGGTCACACTGAGCATCTTTTCGTGTGCTTACCGACCATGTGCATTGCTCTTTGGTGAAATGTCTGTTCATTGCCTTTGCCCATTTTTTGATGGAATTCTACTATTACTTGTATTCTAGTATAAGTCCCTTTTCAGATATGTGACTGGGAAAAATTCTCTTCAATTGCATGGGTCATCTTTTCACTTTATTGTGGTGCCATTAGAAGCATGATGTGTTGATTTTGATGACTGTTAGTTTGTAAGCTTTTGCTTCCAACGGTTTCCTCAGGAATGTAGATTAAGACCTTGGATAAGGTACCAGTCTCATTTCACTGGTGAGGAAACTAGGGATCATGAGAGAATAACTAATTTTCCAAACCCGTTGGCTAGCATAGAAGGGAACTCCATTTTCAGTGACATCTGTGGGCCCTGCTCTTAACTCCCTTTGTGACAAGTGGGGACATATTAAACATGGCTTGAGACTGCTCACTGACACCTTGGTCGCTCAGGTACAATGCGGTTACAGATGTGCATGGCACATCTGCTTTGAGTGCAGTGTTTTACACACACTCTTCCTGGCTCCTGTTCCTCGTGCATCTCAAGAAAGCCACATCTCTAGCCTCCGTGGCAGGGAAGGTTTTCGCAGGAGAATCTGTTCTTCTGTCGTGATCCTCGCTTGCTGGTCCCCATAGGAAGAGGAGGAGGCACTCGTCTGCCTGGAGAGACTGGGAGTGGGAGTGATGGGAGGGTGTGGAGCAGCAGCGAGGCCATGGCACGAGCTGTAGGCTGTGTAAATCCCTCACTCTCCTGCCTTTCCTTGCCGAAGTGAATTATTGCCCTGTCCCTTGCCTTTTCATCTGCATTTCGTGGTTAGAACTTAGGAGGAGGAGTGAAGATTAGATTCTCCTTAGCCCTGGAACCATTACTTTTCATTTTGCATCTCCACACCCTTCACACTCAGTGGAAGCTGAATCAGTGGACCAAAGGACCAGCTGAGAGAAAGTAACTGTCCTGTGTGTGCCTAAGAGGTGCAGGTAGATGATGGTGCCACGGTCTGCAGCTCCCTTTCTGCTTGTCTGTGTGATATTCCCACAGGGAAACTGGTTCTGGGCCTATCAACATGCCACTCTGCAGCCACCACTCTTAAACCAATCTTAGTCCCACCATTTGCCACTTTGGGCCACCTCTTACCTCCTCATTGCTTCTTCCATGCCACAGG